TTGCTCGTCTACAACTGGTCCAAAATGCTGCAGCCCGATTTTTAACTGGTACAGGCTATAAAGAGCACATCACGCCAGTTTTGGCCTCCCTGCACTGGCTACCCATTCACCTTCGGATCCATTTCAAAATTCTCATGTATGTTTTTAAATCACTGAACAGTTCCGCCCCATCCTATCTCACTGATCTTCTGCAGCCATATGTCCCACCGCGCTCTCTGAGGTCAGCAGACCAGATGCTTCTCTCAGTCCCAGAAACCCGTCGTAAGCTCAGAGGTGACAGGGCTTTCTCTGTTGCAGGTCCACGACTGTGGAATGAGTTGCCACTGAGTGTCCGGCAGGCTCCCACACTCTCAGTCTTTAAGTCTCGCTTGAAGACCCACTTCTATTCGCTTGCCTTTAACACGGTGTGATTTGTTTTGGTCCGGTCTGTTCTCTACTCTGTTGCCATTTTAGTTAGCTTCTGCTGCTATTTGTATCTGTATTTCTATTTTATGTTTTCCTGTCTGCTGTGCATGTTTGGTTCTTTTGTACAGCACTTTGGTTGGCCTTGTTGCTGTTTTAAGTGCTATATAAATAAATTGGTATGGTATGGTATGGTTTATGGCAGAAGTGGTGCTCCGGTGATGTGTTGGGCGGCTTTCACCACCCTCTACAGCGCCTTCCGGTCTGAGGCAGAGCAGCTCCCGTACCAGACTGTGATGCAATTGGTCAGGATGCTTTCAATGGTGCAGCGATAAAAGTTCACCAGGATGTTTGAGGACAGGTGGTTCTTCCTCAGAGTCCTCAGAAAGAAAAGGCGCTGGTGAGCTTTCTTGATCAGTTTGGAACAGATGGTCATCCAGGTGAGATCCTTGGAGATGTGGACACCCAGGAACTTGAAGCTGTTCACATGCTCCACCACCGTCCCCTTGATGTAGATGGGTGGATGTGGGCCAGCGTTCCTCCTGAAGTCCACGATGAGCTCCTTAGTCTTCTCAGTGTTGAGCAGCAGGTTGTTGGTGTCACACCACTCAGCAAGACGAACCACCTCCTCCCTATAAGCGATCTCATCGTTGTCTTTGATTAGGCCGATCACCGTGGTGTCACCTGCAAACTTAATGATGGTATTGGAACCATCAACAGGTTTGCATTCATGGGTGAAGAGGGGGTAGAGGAAGGTACTCATCACACAGCCTTGTGGTACACCGGTGTTAATAGTGATGGTAGATGAGCAGTGGTTATCCAGCCGGACATGTTGGGGTCGGTTGGTCAGAAAGTCCAGTAACCAGTTGCCCATTAGGGAACTGATACACAAGTTTGTGAGTTTTGTGATGAGTTTAGAGGGGATGACTGTGTTGAATGCTGATCTAAAATCTATGAACAGCATCCGGGCAAAGGCGTTTTTGTTATCCAAGTGTGGATAGAGTGGAAGAGTGCAGCGCTATGGAGACTGTATCCTCTGTGCTCCTGTTCTGGCGGTATGCAAATTGGTGGGGGTCCAGGGTGGGTGGGAGACAGGATTTGAGGTGTACTAGGACCAGCTGCTCAAAACACTTTGCGATGGTGGAGGTGAGGGCTACCGGACGGTAGTCGTTGAGTCTTGATGGTTTTGAGTTTTTGGGTATTGGGACGATGGAGGTGGTTTTGAAGCAGGTTGGTACCACAGCACGGGCCAAGGACAGGTTGAATATGTCCGTCAGTACTCCTGCCAGCTCCCCAGAACATGCTCTAAGAACACGTCCAGAGATGCTATCAGGACCCGCAGCCTTGTGAACTTTAATCCTGCTCAGTGCCGCTCCTACATCGGTGGGGAAAAGAGTCAGTGGTTTGTGGTCTGGAGACACATCTGCCTTAGTTGTAGTTGCTGGGTTCCCTCTCTCAAAACGAGCATAGAAATTGTTGAGCTCATTGAGGAAGGAAACATCAGAGGAGACGGGGGAGGGGTTGATGGCCCTGTAATTTGTAATGATCTGGAGTCCTTGCCACATACGTCAGGGGTTGGAGTTTGAGAAGTGTTCTTCTATCCTCCCCTTGTAGTGGTGTTTGGCCTTTTTGATGCCCCTCTTCAGCTCAGCCCTGGCTGTACTGTAGGCCTGTGTATCTCCTGACCTGAAGGCGATGTTGCGAGCCTTCAGCAGTAGACGTACATCCCATTTCATCCAAGGCTTCTGGTTGGGGTACATGGTGATCCGTTTCTGTGTGGTGACACTGTCTATAGTGGTGGAGATGTGGTCCAGCACAGATGAGGCGTACTGTTCCAAGTCGGTGTGAGTGAACATATTCCAATCAGTGTTTTTGAACCGGTCCTGGAGCACAGTGTCTGTCCCCTCTGGCCACACTTTTATTGTCCTCACAGTGGGTTTCACACGTTGGATGAGTGGTGAGTACCAAGGTGTGAGGAAAATGGAGAGATGGTCTGATTGTCCAATGTAGGGGAGGGGGGTTTCTTTGTATGCTCCAGCCAGGTTGGAGTAAACATGGTCCAAAGTCTTGTCCCCTCTGGTGTGGCAGGAGACATGTTGGTGGAATCTGGGGAGGACGGTCTTCAAATTGGAGTGGTTAAAGTCACCAGCAACAATAAAAGCAGCCTCAGGGTGTTTGATCTGGTGTTTGCTAATGGCTGCATAAAGTTCTTTCATAGCCAGCTTAGCATTAGCATCCGGGGGGATATGCACTGCAGTGAGTATGATGGAAGTGAGTTCTCTGGGGAGGTAATAAGGTCTGCATTTGACCATTATAAACTCCACATTAGGTGAGCATTGTCTCTCGGTAGTAGCAGAGTCTGCGCACCAAGCTTTGTTAGTATAAATGCACAAACCTTCACCTCTGGTCTTGCCGGAGTCCTCAGTTATTCTGTTGGCTCGGTGTGTGTGGCGTCCTGCTAACTCAATAGCATTGTCTGGGCAGCTGTTGTTTAACCATGTTTCAGTGAAAATCATGACGTTTGAGTTCATAATCCGCCTGTTATTGGTGATGGAGAGCCGTATTTCATCCATTTTGTTTGCCAAAGAACGGACATTGGCGAGGAAAATGTTGGGTAAGGGCAGCCAATGTGGTGTAAGTTTTAGCTTAGCCCGTAGTCCTCCACGCTTACCCCACCTTTGTTTACGTTCTCGGCGCCATCTGCGTATACTTACGCCCGGCCTGGAGGAGTAAGCAGCCTCTGGTGTTCTGGAGATCTCTGGGATGAGTCGGAGATCGGCAACAAAACTATCGGAGTTTTGAGTACAGATGTCCAGAAGCTCCTGTCTGCTGTAGAACAGCAACGCTGAGCAATTCTGGATGAATAGTCCGGTCAAAAGTAGGTAAAAAAAGGCTAAATAGCATGTTCTGGAGAGACGCTGAGCCTCGCGTTGTTCACGCGTCGCCATCTTGGTCGATAAGTAGCATGTACAGTACTGTAGCATGGCTGTTAAAAAAAAAAAAAAAATATATATATATATATATATATATATGTGTGTGTATATATATATATATATATATATATATATATATATATAGAGAGAGAGAGAGAGAGAGAGAGAGAGTAGCCTACCAAGAAGTCATTGATCGCTGTCTTCACCTTTGTCCTGCACACTGCGCCCTTGAGCTTGTGCTGTCCTCCATCATACAGCAGCGTTTCAAAACCCACTGGTGAAAGATTTTTTTACCTTGCTCCGATGTCAGGATCCACTGGTAGACTTGAGCAAAAGTTGCTCTTCTCATGAGACCAGTTCTGGGAAATGATTTCTCTCTGTCAGTCATCAAAGTCTCCCACCGAGCTCAGAGTGCCATTTTAAATGCACGATTCACATTATTTTGAGTGGTTGCAAATTCTTCATTGTGCCCCAGGAGGGGAGAAGAGAGTTGGGGGGGGGGGGAGCAAAGTCCTCCCACTCCCCCACAAGTCAGATATATACTTAAAGAAAAAAAACTTTATTTATACAGGTAATCTCATTGAGTCACAAGGACCCACCTTCCAAGAGAGACGTGCTCTGTGAGCACCCGAGTGTGACGAGACTAAATGTTTAGGCGGCATGAAGCTTGTTAGTCCGACACAAAAAAAACAATACATTTTATCACAGCATTATAAGCCGCAGTGTTCAAAACTCGTGAAAAAGTAACGGCTTATAATCCAGAAATTACGTTATATCTAAATGGGATGAAACCCCGGGGGAGATGCTGTAGTGTTTAGCAACATGTCTTCTTATGCAGACAGCACTTGGTGTTCTCAGAGGAGTTTTTTTCTCTGTGTACTGGGCTAAACCTAGTATGGCCCAGTCCAGTTCTTCTATTGGATTATGAGAGCAAATGTTTTTGCCCTGGCCTACAGCATATAGGCCAGAGCATTCAGGCACCTATCATCATGCACGTCTACTCCACTCATGGCCAGGCTGCTTTGTATTTAATGGGGTCTCTATTAGGGACATATGTGCAGAAGTGTGCTGGTCCTCACCACTAGTTTTTGCTCAATTTTTTTAATTAGATATTCCAAGGGTGGCCTCTGTTCTATTAGACTTTGGGGCTTTGCTGGGACACGGAGACACCTTTTGATAAAGGGCTAAAGTAAAGTGAAGTCCAATTTATTTATAAAGCACATTGAAATCAGCAGCAGTCACCAAAGTGCTTAACAATAAAAATTAGTAGCAGTAATTTGAAGAAAAAATAATAATTAAAAACATCAAAAGAAAACATGACACACAAAACAATAAAATACAAAATCAAATGACACTGTGTTAAAAGTCAGTGATGTCTGTAGTATTTATATCCCAGAGTGAGACAATGAAATTAATGCTTCCAACTCTCAAAGTATCTAAGTGGGTCGTCTCCCCAGACAAACCTTCTTTCTGAGGTGAAGTGAGAAACTTTGCTTATTTTTGAAGATGTTGAATTGTACGGCAAGCTACTTAAAGGGTAGTACAGGTGTTGCAATAACCTGCCAGTCAGGATTGGTGTACTTGGATAAATACTTCTGAGGAATATCTATAGCGGAGTTATCCAATAGTTAGACATCTCAGTCATGCTAACCTCTTTCCCTGCAGGGAGTGGGCAGTCCGTCACAAGGTAAAGCTGATAGGAACATGTGGAGGACCAACCAATCTCTCAGGAGAGAGTTTGAAGGATGTTCACCCTGCAGAGCTGCGCTGCCACAGTCAAGAAGCCATGCTGAAGGCAGAGTTTGAGGAAGCAACCAGGATATCTCCACCACCAACTGAAGAGCCAAGAAACAAGATCAGGTGCCCTGCAAACTGTGTCTGTGAGGTGAGTGACAGATAATTAAGTTAAAAAATAATAATTCTACACTCGGTTGGCACGGTGAGCAGCAGTGAACACTGTCGCCTCTAAGCACTAAGGTCGCAGGCTGGCCTTTAACCTGGGTCTATGTGGACTTTACGTGTTCTCCTCATACATGCGTGGGTTTTCTCCAGGTACTTTGGTTCCTCCCATTGACTAAAAACATACATGTTAGGTTCATCAGCAACTTTAAACTGTCCATAGCTGTGATTGAAAGTGAACGTCTTTTGTCTTGTTTATCTCTGTGTCCCTGTGATGGACCTGACGCCTGTCCAGGGTGTCCTCACCCCTCGCACAGTGACAGACAGACTCTAGCTCCCTCATGACCTGGAAATGGAAAAAGTGGCAAAAGATAATGGATGGATGGTTTTAAGGATTCACTGATGATTAACTTGTAGATGCACAGAAATTGTAAATGTCTGTTAAGATTTTCATTAATGCTACTATTTTTGACAGGAATGCTCCTGATGTTTATTTATTGACACACCTATTTTAAAGGGACAGTTCATGTATTTAATAATGAAGAGAGTAAAAGTAAAACATTTGTCAGAGTCAGTCTGAGTAAACTAGGCTGGACTTGGGGTACCCCATGCTTAGTTAGTGACTTGCAAAATGAGACCAAATCATCATTCCTCCACCACCATGCTTAACAGTTGTTATAAGGTGCTTGTGCTGATATGATGTGTTTGGTTTTCTCCAAACATGCTGCTGTTCATTATGGGTAAATATTGCTACTTTATTCTGTCCGAGGACAGTCCAAGAGGCTTATTGTTCGTTCAGATAAAACTTTGCAAACCTAAAATGTGTTGCTGTTTTATTTTAACTGACAGTAGAAGTAATCCTTCCTAAAAAAGCATCATGACGATGCTGACTCAACATGGTAAGTCTGAGATGTCTGCTATTTAGCACTCACTTCCAAAGATGAAAGTTGAGCAGTAATGTTTTTGCCTGTATCTGAGTGTGTCCATTGGTCTGTACCGTTAGAAAAATACCTCAAAAAACCACTGGACAAACGTCAACAAAACACTCAGAAGGTAATCATTGAATGAAATAACTGTTGCAATGAACTTTTGGAGTAAGTTTCATTCAAGGTAGCTGCTACAGCTCAGCAAGCTTAGAAAACACAAATAGAAAGAATAATAATAAGAAAGAACATGCTATGTGTTGTCATTGTATGTTTGCATACAATGACTAAATCTGTCCTCTGCATTTAACCCATCACACGAGATACACCCAGGTGGAGCAGCGGGCAATAATGTAAGCGCCAGGGTTTATATGATTATGTCTGTCAGTTTCATACATCTTCAGCTCTAATTTGGTGCATTAGCTAGGACTCATACCCAACAATTGTTCGTAACACTTACTGATTAAGCAAACTCAGTTTTTAAAACTTTACCATTAATAATTAGTTACCTCTATTTGTTAGAAAAATATTTCCACTGAATGGATTTTAAAGAAGCATTCAGTAAGAAATCATTGGCTGAACATCCACAACTAATTACACTCTGGAGTTAATTAACCCATTTCAGGCTGACCACTGCAGGAAACTGTGGGATTCCTGGTGACTAACATGACTTGCTGTAATTTCCCAAAACAGAGTTTCAGCACTTCCACATACATTATTAACACAAAATCAAACTTTTCATGATCATTTTGTGACAAAATAAACCAAAATCATCTCTTGACTGTTAGCATACTTGCAGTATTTTTGTCAATGCTGTGCAGCTGAGATGCTGAGGCTAAAAGCTAATTGGTACAGGCAGGGCTGGCCCAAGCCTCCATGGGGCCCTAAGCAAAATTTGGTTTGGGGCCCTCTATTTCTGCTAATAATGTGGATTACTGCAATCAATAGTCAGATGAGCAGATCATTCACCCACATAACATAAACTCATTGCAACTCTGACAGCCCTGTTTATATCATCTTATATGTATATATCATGCAGGGGCATCAAACTCATTTTCATTTTGGGCCACATCAAGCTTGTGAATGTCCTCAAAAGGACGGACATGGCAGAATGTACTGATAAAACTACCTTTTAACAAACTGGTAAAATATAACTTTCTCTGCATTCGATGACTACTTCTAAAAATTAAATATTTTATGTTGAGTAATTTGGCGTTATAAACATAAAATCTGATTTGATTTGACTGATAAAGTAAAATTGAAGCACACAACTGTTATCTTGAAGTTCTGTCTCTGTGGCCCTCTAGGATATAGCCTTAGTTAGGGTTTGCAACGACATTCTTCTGGCAAATGACTCTGGTCAGTCTGTAGTTCTGGTACTCCTTGACCTTACCGCTGCATTTGATACTGTGGACCACAGTATCCTTATATCCCGGCTAGAACACTGGGTTGAGATTACTGGTGCAGCGTTAGAATGGTTCCATTCATACCTGAACGACAGGAGTTTCTGTGTTAATTTTGCCAACACTCTATCTACTTCAGTGCCTCTTTCCTGCGGGGTCCTGCAAGGCTCCATTCTTGGACCCCTTCTGTTTTCTTTGTATCTCCTCCCCTTAGGGTCTATCCTGAGGAAACATGGTCTTTCCTTTCATTGTTATGCTGATGACTCTCAGATTTATCTGCCGTTAACACCTAACAGTTCCTCCTCCATTTGCCCTTTGTTAAAATGTCTTGATAACATCAAGACTTGGATGGCTGTGAACTTTTTGAGTTTTAATGATCAGAAGACTGAGGTCATTGTGTTTAACCCTAGCTATGCCACTGTCACTGATCCTGCAAACCTGGACTCCCTTCAGCCATATCTAAAACAGTCTGTTACCAATCTCGGGATAGTTTTAGACTTGGACTTTAAGTTTAATAAGCAGATAAATTCTGTTCTTCAAAAAAGCTTCTTTCAGCTAAGGCAGATAGCTAAGCTCAAGTCCGTCCTGTCCAGATCCGACCTTGAAAAATTAGTCCATGCATTTATTACAACTCATTTAGGGGGCCCCCTAGTGGCCCCAGGGCCATAAGCAGCAGCTTAGTTTGCTTATGCCTTGGGCCGGCCCTGGTACAGTACCACATCTTTGTTATAAAACAGAATCAAATTTACTTTCATAGAGACCAAACAGTATTGTGATGTAGGAGTCTTCTGTATTGTTGATGATGGTAGCAGTGAATCTTAAGTTTTAAAAACTGATTTAGACTTAGAAACACTGATGCAGTAAGTTTTATACCATCAACAAGAAAATGACCAAATCAAATCAGCGAGTTGCATAGTATTATTTAAAACTAATGAAGGTACAAAGTATTTAAGACTGTGTTTGTCCACAGGCAGAGACGCACCATTCTTCGTGTGAGAACCGCGGACACACCAAAGTGCCTCGAGGTTTTTCTCCTGATACACGACTTCTTGACCTACGTGGCAACCACTTTCATTACATCTCTAGCAACAGCTTCCCTGGTCTTGCTCAGGTTGTCTCCCTGCACCTGCAGCGCTGCAAGATTGTGGAGATTGAGGGAAGAGCTTTTGATGGGATGAAGGGACTGATATACCTTTACTTATCTGAGAATGCCCTTACTTCCCTCAACCCTGATGCCTTTATAGGTATTTCATGAGAGAATTTAAATTTGTATAAGACATGGTTCAATTCTTATGTAACATTTGTGTCATCTGAATTTATCCACAGGTCTACCTCAGCTGACATATCTCCACCTGGAGAAGAACCATTTTGCCAATTTTCCCAAAGGATCCTTCAAACTAGTTCCCAGTCTATTGGCTCTTCACTTAGAGAACAATGTTATTACCAAGCTGGAGCCTGGTATCTTGATGGGGTCAGAGGGTCTCAGAGCTCTTTACCTCACTGGGAATACCGTTGAGCATGTGTCACCCTTGTCTTTAGATCAGGCTCGTGATCTTGACACGCTCCATCTGGGGGGGAACAAGCTGACGGAGGTACCCACTGAAGCTCTGAGTAGGGCAAGGAACATTAGGGACCTCAGGCTATCTGGCAATTCAATCCGCTGGGTGGACTCAAATGCTTTTAAACCTTTGGAAAGATCTCTGAAAGAACTGTATCTGAATAACATGGGACTGGAGAAAGTGAGTAGGCAACACTAAGGAAGTATTTAACATAACATTTCATTTTCAAATCATTTTTAATGTGATCTCTCACAATGCAGATGTCTGAGAACTCCCTGGCTGGAGTGGGTCCAGGCTTGAGGAGTCTCTTCCTGGAGGGCAACAAGCTGGAGGAGGTGCCTGACTTCCAGCCACTTACCTCCCTGGAAGTCATCAACCTAGCTGACAATCCTCTCATGTGTGACTGTCCCCTGCTGCCACTTCGCATGTAAGACAATGAAAACACAACAGGCTGCTGTTACAAAAATATTTTGTAGAAAGGTAACAATCTTAACAAGATCAAATTTTCAAACTAAAACCTTCAAAGAATTTTACTGGAAAATTATGTAACAGCCCAACACAAAGTAACACATAATTGTGAGATGTCTTTCTGTGTTTGTTTGTTTGTTTCTTCTTCCTGTTCTCTCAAACCCTAGCTGGTCAAAGCAAATGGTCCTGAATCTGGTTCTATTGGACATTTCTTCCTGTTAAAAGGGAGTTTTTCTTTCCACTGTTGTCACTGGGCTTGCTCAGTATGGGAGACTGTGACGAAGGGAAGATTCAACTTGTCTGCTGGCTTACTTCGATGGAGAACTTTACTAATTGGCTTTTATAATGTATGTGGATGCTTTTGTACAGTGCCATGAGATGACTTCTGCTGTGATTTATTTTTCATTCAACCTTTATTTATACATGTTAGTCTCATTGAGCCACGAGGACTCATTTACAAGAGAGACCTGTTTAGAAAGGCTTGGTGCTATCAGCTATAAATAAACTGAATTAAAGGAAGGAAAATGATGCATGACTTTTCAAAATACTTTACAAAAATAAAAACATCTGAAAAGTTTATGTGCATTTGCACTCAGTCCCATTCACCCCAATACCCCTAACTAAAATCTAGTGCAACCAGTATAGAGGGTTGCACTGAATATTTATACAAGGGTATAAATATTCCATTGTACGAATATGTATACCACTGAATATGGGAATCTGCCTTCTGTGAAGGCACATGGCCTATCTTTATCATGTTCAGGTCCTTCTGTGACCAGCCAGGTCCTTTGATCTTTCCTGAACCATGTTGTACGGAATTAGCTTGGGTGTCAACTTTGATCCTGTGCCTTCAACCATGTCTGGAGGTCCTGTTTTAACAACTGCAGGCAAATCCAAAAAAGAAAGCGCTGTGGAGAGGCCGTTGAATTTCTCATATACTGTAGTGGTTTGAGCACATTTTCCCACTAATTCACACCTTCATGCATGAGACCAAAACAACTCTCTTGTGAGCCAGGCAAAGGAATACCCTAACAAGACTCAGGTGAGAGGGCAGTGAGATTAATCTGTGTGTGAATTTAGCTGCATAAATGGAGCACTTTTTACAGTTTACAGCTTGGACCTTCACACTCTCCAGTTTAAAACTGAGGAAACATCCCAACTGGAAGCAAAACAACTTCAAATACAGAATAAATGACACTTTGTTTTTTTAAAACTTTTGGATTTGCCATGTCCTGGATGCCAAAGATTGTACACTAGCAAATAGAAGTATGCCAGCATGCTAAAGGAGAGGACACATTGGCTGTTTGACTGGTTTGCACACATTCACTGCTTGTTTTCTGACCTGGGACCAGCATAGTTTTCCATACTGACAACTCTGAGATCTATCTGATCTGATATTATCATTGTTTTACATTCACATGACCATCCATCCATCCATCCATCCATCCATCCATCCATCCATCCATCCATCCATCCATCCATCCATCCATTCATCCATCCATCCATCCATCCATCCATCTTCCATTTGTTCCAGAGTCGGGTCTCGGGGACAATAGCTTGAGCAGGGAGGTCCAGACATCTCCACAGCCACCTCTTCCAGCTCTTCTGGGAGAACTCCAAGGTGTCCCCAGGCCAGCTGAGAGACATAGGTCCTGTTTACATAGGGTGTTTTTTTAATAAAACCACAGCTTTTCTGCTGCATTTCAGCCTTTCATTTACACAACAGCTCCCGTTTCTCTGAAACTGAAGGTTTCTGAATCCTGGTCTCCTGGAGAATTTTGAGGACAACCCCCCCCCCCCCCCCATGGAGGTGTGCAATGCTCCCCAGGTGTGAAACCACACATGTGCACTGCAGGCAGCTGTAGTCAAAAAAATTTCTGCTCTAGTTTATGAATGTCAGAGAACAGTGTTTTTTTGTGCTACTCACCCTTATTCACCCTCTTGAAAATGAGTTCTCGTGGCTGAATGAGACTACCTGTATAAATAAAGGCTAAATGAAAAAAAAAAAATTCAGCATGTAGGAGCAAAACCACTAATATCTGTGGTCCAAAGGAACATTCACATGTTTACTAGTTTGGATGTAACTGTGATCATACTGACACTGCATGCAGCTGAGCCTGGCATCAGGGTTGCCAGATAAACATGAATAGGGTTGTTCTACCCTCACCTTTTATGTGCACATGTTCACCAAACACAGTACATACCTAATCTTGCAACTCTCACTCAGCACATAATAGTTTGAGTCAAAATACGATCATTTTAAAGAGACAGTACAATAGTTCACCAGTGCTTATCTGGCAACCCTTCCTGTCAGGTCCTCTGGACTGTTTCTTTGTGGTGAAACATTTCATCTTCATCCAAAAGCCTGTTTGTCCGATCAAGGAGCTGCAACAAACTCAGTCCTATAAACAACTCTTTTTTGGTTTATTCATCCCAATAAACATTGAAAAACCACTACTGTTTCCAGAGGTCATTCTCATGTAAACAGGGCCAAAGTCTCGCCAGTGTGTCCTGGGTCTTCCCCGAGGTCTCCTTCCATGTGCACATTCTTAACTAACTGCAGTCTTAAGTGACCAGACTAGCTAACACCAACACACAGAGAGTTCCAGTGAAGACTGATTTATACTTCAACAAGACATAAGCAGATCTGTCATTACGTAGATTCTGACTTCTTTGTCTCACGGAGCTTTCATATTCAAGGAGAAGATGTGGGGGATAAATCATCATAATTCCTCCATCTGCTCTCCCACTGTAGCACACACCATGCATACAACAGTGATAGCAGGATAACTAGAGGTAGTTTGTTTCACTCAAGAATGTATTCTCAAACATTTGAAGAGAGGCTTGTGACATTGGATTAGGAGTTGAAGGAGGAAGATGATCTTGTATTATTTCTTGTTAACCACAGGCATCAAAAGAAGATGTGAACATTGGTGGCTCGTTCACTTCCTGAATAGGACCAAATGTGAGCAAGGGGAGTTCAGTCTGTTGGTCCATTAGGGTTGCCAACCGTCCCGTAAAAAATGGAATCGTCCCGTATTTAGAAACAAAGTACGCGTTCCGTATTGAGCTGCAATGGGACGTACTTTGTCCCGTATTATCATGTAAGTCAAAAAAATGTCCATGAGTTAGTAAATGATGGGCACTGTACATGGAATTTTATGGTAAATTAACTCCCACCCTCTCCTGCTCTGTGACCAATGAGCAGTCTTCTTACTCACGAAGCCCTGAATCCGGCTCATCTCATTGGTCCAGCTCTGTTGTTTATCACAACCGTCGACAGACAGGATTCGACAACAAGACATCATGGACACGAGCAGCAGGAATTCAGAGGATTTAAACAGCGCACACGGTTCATTTTCCATCAATAACCCGACTACTCCCCCCCCCCCCCCAAAAAAAAAGAAACGGCTGCAAAAATACAGAATTGAGTGGGAAAAGGAAACGTGGCTGGAAAGAGTGCATGCTAATGGCTATAAAGCACATTGTACTGTTTGCCAGCGCATTTTGTAGCCCATGGTGGACAGCTTGATGTCAAACAGCTCCACCGCTGGACACATAAGAAATGTGAAAGACAACAAAACCAGGAGAACCCTTGACCAGTATTTGTCCACTGGGCAACACCAGAGGCAGATCTGGTATGTAAAATAATAATTGTATTAAAAAAAGCATAAGCGTAATGTGTAAAAGTGCAATGAATGTGAACATTAAAGGCCAAATAGATTTTTATTGTGATAAACTAGTAGAATTTTTTTTTTTACATAAAATAGATAAATAAAAAAATACACAAATGAATTTAAACAGTATTTCTTATGTTTATGTTTACTGCAGAGATAGTCCATATAGAGTATACCACACTGTGACACATACTTTAAGTTACAACTGTGGATTTAAGCTGACTCTCCAAACACTGAATGACTCCAGCATTGCCAAGAAGATGTCCTGTGGGAGGACGAAGGCTGAGGCTGTGGTCACCAATGTCCTGAAGTTGTCCTGTGTCCAAATGCAATAGAAGAAGTGGTCCAAAAATTGAAAAGTGGAAGGAGCCCACTCCGATTCTCTCTTCACACCGATGCCTCAAGCAAGGTGAAGATGAACCATGTTTTATTAATAATAGTTATATACAAATGGATACAACTGATATATAGAAATACGTAAATACATAATCAAACTTACTTTCAGTATACAAACATATGCATACTTATACACATCTTAAAAAAAATTAAACAGTTTATATATAGATGTATTAAAGTGATTTCAAAAGGTAGTTAGGATATGATGCAAAATTCTAAAGATAAACAAATATTTGTTCCCATTTATTTACCACTGTACATGACCCATGTGCCTCTAGTGAACTCAGATAATAAAACTTCTAACTCCTTTTGGCAGGTTAAGCATGTCTATGGATGAGCTTCATGAGGAACGTGTGACTGCATCACCTCACCACAGAAGCTCAGGAGAAGGTGTCAGTCCAAGGAAAGAGCAGAGAGGTGGATCAAGCTCTTCAGGCAGCTGACCTCCCCAACATCCAGCTGTTGTATCTTTGTCCTCATTTCATCATCCACTGGATTTGTGTAAATGATTGTCTCTCATGAAAAATAAGTGGACTGATGTGCAAAACAAATGTTCTTCTGAACTAATTAGAAAAGAGCTCATTGTCAGTCTAAATGATGAAATGTCTTGCTCAGAGTTTTACTCTTAGGCTCTGAAAAACAAACCTCTCCTTACTGCAGCACGAGCTCAATAGATACAAATGGAAGAAATGGGTTGACCCCAGTGATGAGCATTGTCCTTTTTAATTTACAAGTTATTTTTTTTTTACTACACATGGAAAGTCATGGCTTCTGAGGCTCAATATGTTTGTTTACAAATTTCCTACAAACTTTATGTTTGCACTAAATGCATTATTACACAAATGTTCTTATTGTTTTCTGTTAATACTGTTTTAAGCTAAGCAGAACAAAAGAATGTTTAAGAAATAAATTCTTTTAAGAAAGATTTTACCCTGGTAATTGTATTTGCACTCAAAATAAATTATTAAATTGTGTAATAATTAATGTTCTATGCATATTTTTATCATTCAAAAACATACATCCAATTAAATTCAGGTTCATTACAGAGCAAGAAAAGCGGGGTGGTGGTGATGGTGGTGTGTGTGTGTGTGTGTTGGGGGGGGGGGGTTGAATCATCACGCTGGTAGGGGTGGGGTTGGCCAACCCTGCCATGACGTGTCCCTCATTTATTTTTCAAAGAGTTGGCAAGCCTAGGTCCAATAGATGTAAAAGATGGACAATTGTGGCAAACAAAATGAGATGCAGAAGAAGCATGTGTTGTTCTGCAGAAACAAACATGTCTGCAAAGTTCTGACACAATGTGCGCTGCATTGCCTGCAAGACAAGATCTGACTAGAAGCTATGTACAAGACAGAATGTCAAGAGGCCCAGCCTTGATCCAGTTGGGATGTAACAAGGCGTAGGTGACTCATTCAAAGTACTTCCATTCATCTTCTTCCTCTTCTGCAGTCAGGTCTCGGGGGCAGTACCTTTAACAGGGAGGTCCAGGCATCTCTTTCTACAGCCACCTCTTCCAGCTCTTCTGGGAGGACTCCAAGGTGTTTCCAGGTCAGCTGAAAACCAGTCTCTCCAGCATGTCCTGGATCTTCCCCGGGGTCTTCTGCCAGTTGGGCATGCCCGGAGCAGCTTCGTAGGGAGGCATCCAGGGGGCATCCTTAGCAGATGCCCGAACCACCTCAACTGGTTCCTATGCATGTGGAAGAGCAGCGGCTCTACTTCAATTCTCTCCCGGATAAATAAACATTTCACCATATCTCTAAGGGAGAGCCCAACAACCCCAAGAAAACACATTTCAACTGCTTGTATCCACGATCTTGTTCTTTCTGTCATGACCCAGAGTTTGTAACCATAGATGAGGCTATGAACATAGACTGACCGGCCAACAGAGGGCTTTGCCATGCAGCTCAGCTCCCTCTTCACCACAACAGACCTTTCAATACGTGCAGTCATTTTTCATTTCATTATTGTTGGATAGGGGCTTAACATTTTATGACAGTAAGTGTAATTTCTTTCTTTCTCTTCATCTAGGTGGATTAAGAAAGTTAACCTCAAAGTTAGAGCTACCTGTACCAACCCTCCTGAACTTAGAGGTCGACGAGTCAAAGATGTCCACATTTTCAAGGCCTGCCCTGGAGGAGAGAGTCTCCAGTCCCCACCTACTGGAGTCCTGAATTCATCCAAGGCAAACAAGCTCAAACAAACAAACCCAACTGGTCAAAAAGCCAAAAAACCAAAAGCCAAAATCAAACTTTACAAAAACCTCTATACAAAACGAGCAACTTCAAAGAAAAACACAAAAGTCACAAACAAACAAAGCATGGCTTAAATCTAGCTTCAATTTTACATCAGAGGGAAGAGAACCGCCTTTGACAAAAATGTATAATTTTTTATACATTTGACTGAACATTCAAATTAATAAATCCTGTCAAGTTGTCCTGCTAATAAAACCAAGTGCTGCAGTGTCTTTGTAATCTACTCTTCTTTTCAGTCTACTTTTATTTGCCTGATTTATCTGCTTGTTAAAAGCTAAATTTTAGACATGTCTGTTTCCAATTCAATACAGAGAAATATATGGAATTGTTTTTTTTTACTAGTTTCACTTTTAGTAGTCGATAGAGAACTAAAAGTGCATGGTTGTCTTTCATTCTTACAAACAATTGGAAAAAAAGTTTGGCGCTTATTATTGTGACAAAGGTGCTCATTGGATGCAGAGAGCCGCACGGAACCCACAGCACAGTATTAGAACCAGAGCTGAATGAGACCTCCAGACCCATTGGTGAATCTTGAGATCTGGTAGCTGGCCCACGAGGACTTCAGAGCAGGGATGTGCCGCCGAAGGTCCGGGGCTGTTTCCGGAGCCCATCAGGACTTTTTTCATCCAGACTTGGACTCAGACAACCACCTCCAGTCCCATGCCAGCCAACCGAAGGTCTGCCCCTCCCCCAAAATGCATTTCAGTGCTCAAGGGCTGCATTGAACCGGACCAGAACTGGACCCCCAGACTCAGCTGTGAACCCGAGAGGCCCTAGCCGGTTCACGAGGACTTCCAAGTGGGATGTGGGCTGCCGAAGGTCTGGCGCTCCATCTAGAGCACACCAGGACTTTTTTCATCTCTCTTAATCAGCCCACGCAGATCTCCGAGTGGGCACGCGCTGGTAAATAAAATTTATTAGCTACATATAAGTATGTTGTTAAAATTTGTAGGTTTAAGAGTTTAGAACATTGATTGTGGGCTTTGTCACTGCAGGTTATGTCTGCAGAAACGAACTGAGTCGTACGAAACAGAGTTGGACCGGAACCGAGAACCAGTCCTGTACTGCAGAGCCTGGTAAGTACAAACCGGATTCCAAAATAGTTGGGACACTAAACAAATTGTGAATAAAAACTGAATGCAATGATGTGGAGGTGCCAACATCTAATATTTTATTCAGAATAGAACACAAATCACAGATCAAAAGTTTAAACTGAGAAAATGTATAATTTTAAGGGAAAAATCTGTTGTTTCCAAATTTCATGACGTCAACAAATCCCAAAAAAGTTGGGACAAGTCCATTTTTACCACTGTGTGGCATCCCCCCTTCTTCTTACAACACTCAACAGATGTCTGGGGACAGAGGAGACCAGTTTCTCAAGTTTAGAAATAGGAATGCTCTCCCATTCATGTCTAATACAGGCCTCTAAATGTTCAATCGTCTTGGGTCTTCTTTGTCACACCTTCCTCTTTTTGATGCACCAAATGTTCTCTATAGGTGAAAGATCTGGACTGCAGGCTGGACATTTCAGTACCCTGATCCTTCTCCTACATAGCCATGATGGAGTGATTGCTGAAGAATGTGGTCTGGCATTATCGTGTTGAAAAACACAGGGTCTTCCCTGAAAGAGATGACGTCTAGATGGGAGCATATGTTGTTCTAGTGAACTCGGCCTCAGACCAAAACCTGCCACTGAAGACCTTCATGGGACAGGAACTGTTATTTCATTGATTTGAATACAGAAATCCAAATTAGCTCATTTTGAGACTGTCTAATTGTATCCTGAAGTAATCAATTGGAAGAACACTCTTCTTTTTATATTATCATTACTATTTTACAATATCTTGATAAATCAAAAGTGTGTTTAGATCATACCATTTCTAAACGTTGGAGTGAACCACTCATTTTAAATCAACTGTGAAACAGTATTAATGATTTTTTTTTAATCCTCATTTAAATTAGAAATCAAGTTAAATGTCTATGTACAAAGTAATTATGCATTTTGATCTTCTGTCTGAATGAGCAGTAGTGATTTCGGTCAAAAGTCAGAGACAGTCAGAAAGAAGTTATTAGAACGAAGTGGATTGTTTTTAAACCTAGCAGACAGTAAATAAGAACAACTGGCACCTGCAAAGTTTCTCACTTCCTCAAAACATTTCCCTGTCTGTACTAAACGTTCCTAAACATTCTTGCACTTTCTTGACTTGTAATAACCCTCTGACATCACTAGAACCACCCCCTGTTGGTTGTTTCAACCAATCAGGAAGTCCTGAAGTGACCGGAAGTGAGAACTCTTTAAAAGTCCACACTTCCTGGAACTACTCAGAGTCTCCTGAGTCTTCTAGTCAGTCTTCAAGTCTGTCTTCTAGTCGAGTTGGGGGCTACTGCAGTCTTCCATTCCTGAGTGGAAGCTCTGACGGACTCACAGCTTGCTTTGTATCCACCCAGGAGATGAGCGTGTTTGTTGAACGGAGTAAATGACATGACTCCTGACGATGGCCAGCCGCTCTTACCAGAGACGCTGGAAGGTAGCGTTGAAATGGACCCGACACCGGAGCTGATTAATTTCTGCAAAGGTAACGAGTCGTGACGCGCCAAGTGTCCCGGAGGTTTGAGCTGGTGTTGAAGGGAGCGTGCCATCCTGGTCCGAACAGTCACCCCCTTTTACCCATCTTTTCTCTTCATTCCTTCCTTTAAAACTCTTCTATTTTGCCAGTAATCCAGATGCCTTCAGAAATGTCTTATTAGTAAAGCGTGCCAAGTTTTATTAATCAGAACCAGATCAGCTAATCCCGTGTACATGTTTTGATGTTAAATTTTGATTCTGTTAAATAAATGACCACATTTATTCTGTTGGGTCAAAGGAAATTAACACCTCATGTCACTGATTTAAACAATCCTCACAGTACCTCGTCACATGGCAGAAATTTAACTCGAAAAAGAGAGAACCCGTTATATTTAAATAATTAGTAGTAAAAGGGTCAGAAAGCTGGCCCTGACACCACTACATATTGGTGGCCGCGTACGGGTCTCTAAAAGAGATAAATTATGCCCCATCCTCCTCTTTAAACCCCCACCACATATTGGTGGCCGCGTACGGGTCTCTAAAGAGATAAATTATCCTCCATCCCCTGTTTAAAACCCACCTTCTGCATTTTGGTGGCGGAACAGGTTTCTGAAGAGATATAAATTCTGTGTGACACGAATTTCTGTGCTGTTGAATTGACGCTGCATGTTGGCGCATGGGAGTCCGAGTTTTGAGCTTGAAAGGACATGATGAGTCATGCTTGAGGTGTTCAGAAAGCTGCAATTAAGTCAATGTGTTCTTGTTAAAGCTGAAAGGTGTAAATCTGTTTGTGTAACTAAGCTGGATGCAGTGGGGAAGACGCTTCATCCATCCATCCATTTTCTTCCGCTTATCCGGGATCGGGTCGCGGTGGTAACAGCCTAAGTAGGGAGGCCCAGACTTCCCTCTCCCCAGCCACTTGGGCCAGCTCTTCCGGGGGAATCCCGAGGCGTTCCCAGGCCAGCCGAGAAACATAGTCCCTCTAGCGTGTCCTGGGTCTTCCTCTGGGCCTCCTTCCGGTGGGACGTGTCCGGAACACCTCACCAGGGAGGCGTCCAGAAGGCATCCTAAACAGATGCCCAAGCCACCTCAACTGGCTCCTCTCAACGTGGAGAAGCAGCGGCTCTACTCTGAGTCCCTCCCGGATGATCGAGCTTCTCAGACGCTTTATTCTGTTAAAACTCTTGCATGAACGGAAGTTCTGCTGTCCGACTCGGTTCTGTTTATTGGACTGAACGAGTCGTGTTTTAAATGGATGAAAAGCTGTTTGGAGCTGGGCGCCGCCTCAGATGCTGTTTTTTATGCTATTCGTTACATTTTTAACAGTAAATGTGCATTTTTGAAGTTTTAATGGGCGATAATTTGACCGGACTGTTAATGCTAACTGCTAACTGAGAGCAGGTAAACACGGGCTGTGATTGGTTGAGAAACGCTGTTTGGGTTGTTCTGATTCGCTGAGAAGCTGGTGACGTATCTCTGTGCGTCCACTCTCTCTGATGTAAGATTGTAAAACCCACCTCCGATGTGCACGTGTCTGAACAGTCACGTGACCCCGGAAATGAATCTCGTTTTAACCGAGTCCTACTTTGTGTTTAAAAACGCTAAATACAGCCTGACACTGTTCCTAAAACTCATGTTTTCATGCAGATAAAGCGTGCTTGTTGACATAGGCCACGTTAATAGCTTTAAATCCATCCATAAAATGTTATAGAACCGTGCTCGATCGTTGCTACATTGAAGCTAACGGCTAGCGACCAGATGTCAACAGGACGGTTCACAGGAAGTTGTCATAGACTTCTACCGGTAAAAGTAAGCTTACACCGCCACCTGCTGTTGAAAAGGAGTATAACAGTTTTCCTGACAGAAAGCTGAACTCTGCTTTTCATCTAAATTTTTTTTTTGTTAATCACGCCTGGTTTCTGTGTCCTGTTTAAATAGCGAATTCTGGTAAATTAAAACTGCTTGAAAAGCGTTTGAAAACTAAAGTTGATGTCAGACTTTTAGAAAAATTGCAGGTTTATTAATTTTAAGTGCACTTGAATAAAATTAACACTGAAAAGGCCTGGTTCATGGTATCTGTTAAAAATAAGCTCATAATTAAGTAACACTGCCAGAAGGAGGCATTTACTTACAATATTTATGGGGTAAGAACTAAACAGGGGCCCATTTATTGAAAAGTTTGCTTATGACTGTAATGTTGATTGAACCCAGAGCTAAAATAGTGTGTGAATCTCACTGCTCACTTAAAAAAATATTTACCTGTTAAACACTCTAAGTTTGCAACTATTTCACCAGATAAGTTGGCTGAACAGTGGATAACCATGGCAGATGTGACAAAAACAAATATTTTTCCGTGTGAGGGGAAGGACTGGTTAGAAAGAGCGTTAACGCTGCTAACAGAATCCTCACATCCATATGGTGAACAGGTGGACAGCATGAACTCAAAAGAGTTATTGGACGAGCTGAAGAATGTTGTAGAAAGTGTGACCTCTGCAACCATAACAAAGT